GATGGGTACTCTCAGCTCAAAAGGAAATCAGTAACTTAGCAGAGTACCAAAAAGATGCCTGGATTCTACAAGTCTTGTGCCATTGATTAAAACAGCGAGTCAACAAGCAGCATTTCTAACATCCAGATGTAGATCCGCAGACACTGTGACATAGGTATTAAAGTTTTCCATTGACATTGGAAGCCCATTTGGTAGAGGCAGGTAATAATTACAGTGGTGACCCTTTTGAAAGAATTCTTACTGCTAAACAAAATCAGTATGAGGCAAAATTCACATTGATAGCAAAGACACGCAAAAAAATCATGCAAGCTGTTACGGGGAAGTTTGTTACCAGCATTTCCTTCTGAATTGTAAGCTCTGATTTTGGACTTATGTGACTCTCAGCAGCTGTTTGAAATACTGCTTAGAGTTAGTTTGATTTCACAGCAGTTGAGAAATACCAAATTTCAGACATTTTGCCTCCAATAAACCAGAAAACTATGAAAAAAGTAAAATCTATAAAACAGGTATTCGTTTAAATACCTGATGTAGATGGGGCTTGTGGTTTGCATGATTCCTCACTTTTAAAATTAATTTTAAATGGGTTTTCACAGCTTAGTACTTAATTATTCATTCTGAAGCAACAAGCAAAATATGAAATCCTACAATGACAATTAGAGTTCATATTACTATTTTATTAGTTATATAGAAGCAAGAGTTCTAGACACTTTGGAGATTAATAAAACAGTAAGTCCTAAAGAAAGGACCAAAAGCCTAGATAAAACTAAAACTGACAACTGCATGCATCTAACATAACAGTAGTAAGAAGTGAAGAGACTTGTGCTATCAAACCGGGTGAAAACTACAGTTATTTTAGATCTTGTCTGAAGTACTTAATCTAGGTTGCCTTAGCATTAAACATTAAAGTTTAAATAAGTTACTAGTTATTTTTTGAGAATTATGAGTTTCAGCCATCCAGAGTCCATTAAAACCTAAGCAGAGTTTAGCTTGAATGAGGTATAAGAGATTCTAAGAGGTAAAAGCCTAAGTATGTGGTGGTTCTGCCAAACATACTGGCACTGCGTGGGAGAAAAGATGGGAAAAAGGATCACCGTTCAGAATTCAAGGGCACAGGATAAGCCACAGCCCTGCTTAAAGAGAGTGAGTAATCCTGTAGCCTCTACACAACACCTCTTCACGTGCATGGCATGCTAACTGTGCAGCACAGGCTTTTAGAGAGCCCCTGCAGCAGCAGCACAGCATCCCATCTAGTTTTTAAGAGAATTTGAGTTGGGTGAGAGCTTGTCTGGTTTTGCTCCCTGCCAGCATACACTAGTCTGCTAACAGCAGGGGGAAAACTGCATAAAATTAACACTTGAAGACCCAGGGTTTGACAGAGAGAATTGCAAGGGTGGAGGCAGGGGACTGGGCACCTTCATGGTCAGAGGATTAAACTGTGCTCAGAATCGAGACTTCAATCCTTTCTAGTCCCCCTTGAATCATGCCAGCCCCTTTCCATTATAAAGGAATGATGCCCTTACAATCTGTATTTCACATCAAATGCTTGGTCATCACACAATCTGGAAGCACCTGTGTGAGCTATTTCAGAGGCCTCAGCAGCTCGGAGACAAATCCTGACAAATCACACGCTGAAGTCAATAGACTCAGGGACTTCATAAAGTACCCAGAACAACTGTGCTGCACTTAGCAAAGGATGACACGAGGTTAGATCACAGCACAGCGAACCATTTATCTACCAAAAGGGAAAGCAATAACAGTGCCAAGAAATTGTTCTCCCTTTGAGATTAATTTCTCCACACATTACTGCCCACAGATATTACAGAATGGATTTAGTAGAGAGGCACTGATGAACTATTTTCTAAATGGCAAAACAATGCTCAACAGTGCAAGTTTAGTTAACTGCTTCCCTAAACCCCCCTCTCATTATTAACTCATACATGCCAAGAGTGGCTCTACTTAACTATGTTTCCAAAGCATGAGACCTACTGGCCATTCCGTTTAATACAACGAACAGAGAAACACTCTGATTTTAACTTTTTTTTTTAGTGCCTCAGTGAAAATGCAGTCATTTCTAGAAGGTAAAAACTAAAGCCTTTATTCTTTACTGAATCAAAATCTCTTTGACATCAATGGATGTTTTTCTTGCTAACAGAAGAGAAGAAATCTTGGAACTGTCTTTTCTTCCTGCTTTACAAAACTTGCTACAAAAAGAAAGATCTTACATGACAATCAGCCTAGTAACTGTCTCCTGAAGAAGAGAGCATCCCACCAGGTCAGGGCTACATCTAGGTATTACTGCCTCAGGGAACAAATAGCTTATTTGCTTCAGTGTGTGTATATACGTTATCTATATCTTTCATTTTTCCTAGATTATCTATTTTTGTATAAAGAAAACCTTCACAATGGCACATACAAGAATTGTCACCCTGTTAAATCATTATCCTGCACTGCAACAGAAACAGGCAGGTTGTCACAAACCTCACTTACACTAGTCAGACAACAAGGTAGAATCTGTCTTCTTGACTTCTTATTGCAGGCAACAAATGAGCTGATATGCTGAGCCATGAGACTTAATGCTT